ACTTGTTTTGTGGCCTAACATGTAATTCTGTCTTCAAGAATGTTCCATATGCATTTGCATGTGGATATGCAGTTTTCCCAGCACCATTTGTGGAAGAGTCTGTTCTTTTCCCATTATGTACTCTTGGCACCCTTGTCAAAAATCATTTAGCCATTTACACAGGGTTTATTTCTGGGCTCTCCTTTCTGTTCACTTACTCTCTCTCTATGTGTATCTTCATGCTAGTATCACACTGTCTTGATTACCTTTGCTTTGAAGTATGTTTTGAAATCTGAACATGTTAGGCCTCCAAATGCTTTTTAGATTATTTTAACTGTTTAGGGTCCCTTGAGATTCTTTGGACTTTTTTTCCTATTTCTGCAGAAAAATGCCATTGTAATTTTGATAAGGATTGCATTTGGGTAGTACGGACATTATTTTTTTTGCCCCCACCCAAGGACACTTTAATGACACTAAGTTTTCCAATCCACAAGCATACTATGTCTTTTCATTAATTTCCATCTTTGGTTTCTTTTTGCAACATTTTGTAGTTTTAATATGCAGGTCTTTCACCTCCTTGGTTAGGTTCATCCCTAAGTATTCTGTACTGTTTGATATGGTAGTAAATGGGATTGTGTTCTTAATTTCTCGTTCAGAATGGTTAGTGGCTGGTCACTATTAGTGTATAGAAAGGCAATTGAGTTTTTGCATGTTGATTTTGTATCCTGAAACCGTGACTAAATCCTTATATTAGTTATAACAATTTCTTTTTGTGGGTTCTTTAGGGTTTTCTATATAAAAGTCATCTGTGAACACATAATTTTATTACTTGTTTTCCAATTTGGATGGCTGGTTTCTTTTTCTTGTCTAAGTGCCCTGTATGGGATTTCCAGCACTGTGTCGAGTAATAGTGGTGAGAGTGGACATCCATCCTTGCCCTGTTCCTGATCTTAGAGGGAAAGCTATCACTCTTTTGCTGTTGAGTATGATGTTAGCTGTGGGCTTGTCAAATATGGTTTTTATAGTGTTTAGGTAGTTTCCTTCCATTCCTAGTTTGTTGAGTATTTTTTATCATGAAAGGGTATTGAGTTTTGTCAAATGCCTTTTCTGCATTGAGATGATCATGTGGTTTTTGTCCTTCATTTTAATAATGTGGTGCATCACACTGGTTGAGTTCATATGTTGAACCATCCTTGCATTCAGGTATAAATCCCACTTGGTTGCAGCATATAATCCTTTTATGTGCTTTTGAAGTTGGTTTGCTAGTATTTTGCTGAGGACTTCTGCATTTATGTTCATCAGCAATATTGGTCTGTAGTTTTTTACTGAATGAGTTTGAAAGTGTTCCACCCTTTTAAATTCTTTGGAAGAGTTTGAGGAGGACTGGTGTTAATTCATTAAATGTTTGGTAGAATTGTCCAGTGAAGAAGCCATCTGGTCCTGGGAGTTTCTTTGTTGGGAAGTTTTTTGATTACTTTTGTAATCTCCTTACCTGTTATAGGTCTTTTCAGACTTTTTATTTCTTCACACATGGTAGTTGTGTGTTTCCAGGAATTTATCATTTCTTCAAGGTCATCCAGTTCATTGGCATGTAATTGCTCAGAATAGTTTCTTAAAATCCTTCTTTCTTCTGTGAAATCAGTTGTAATGTCCTCTTTTCATTTCTAATTTTAGTCAAGTTTTCTCTCCTTTTTTTTCTTAACTAGTCTAGCTAAGAGTTTGTCAGTTTTGTTGATCTTTTCAAAACACCAATTCTTGGTTTCATCAGTTTTTTTCTAATTGTTTTTCTATTCTTTATTTCATTTATCTATGGTCTTTATTATTTCCTTCCTTCTGCTAATTTTGGGTTTAGTCCTTTTTTTTTTCCTTCTGATTTCTTTTTTTGGGTATCATTAATGTACAATTACATGAGCAACATTATGGTTACTAGACTCCCCCCATTATCAAGTCCCCACCACCTACCCCATTACAGTCACTGTCTATCAGCATAGTCTTCTGATTTCTTAAAGAGTAAAGTTAGAGAGTTGATTTGAAATGTTTCTTGTTTTTCAATGTCAAGCATCCTGTAAGTTTTGGTAGGCAGTGTTTTTTTCATTTGTCTCCAGAAATTTTCTAAATTCTCTTTGGGTTTTTTTTTCCTCTGACCATTTGTTATTTAAGAGTGAGTTGTTTGATTTCCACATATTTATGGATTTTCCTGTTTTCCTTGTGCTATTGATTTCTAGTTTTATTCCTTACACTTGGAGAAGATACTTTGTATAATTTAACTCTTCTTAAATTTCTTGAGACTTGTTTTGTGGTCTAACATGTATTCTGTCTTTGAGAATGTTCCTTATGCATTTAAGAAGAATGTGTATTCTGTTTTGGGTGGAGTGTTCTGTATATGTCTAGTAGATCCATTTGGTCTATAGTGTGCTGTTTCTGTATTGATCTTCAGTTCTTTCCATAACTGAAAGTGGGGTATTAAAGTCCCTTACTAATATTGTGTTGCTATCTCTCCTTTTAGTTCTGTCATTGTTCATTTAATATATTTGGGAGTTCTAATGTTGGGTGTATATATATTTATAGTTGTATCTTTCTGGAGAATTGATCCTTTTATTATTATATAATGTTTTTCTTTGTTTCTTATTAAAATTTTTGTCTTAAAATCTGTTTTGTCTTACACAGCTATGGCCACTCATGCTATCTTTATGTTCCCATGTGCATGAAGTTGCCTTCTTTCTATCCTTTTACTGTTCGTGTATTTTACTGTTTGTATATTTGAGTCCTTAGATCTACAGGGAGACTCTTATAGACAGCATGCAGTTGGCTCTTGTTTGTTTACCATTTAGCCAGTCTGTGTCTTTTAATAGGATATTTATTTACATTTAAGATAATTACTGATATGGGAAGACTATTGCCATTTTGTTGTTTTCTGTTTGTCTTGTAGCTTTTTTTTGTTTGTCTTCTCTTCCCTTGCCTTTTTTTTTGTAGTGATATGTTTTGATTTCGTTCTCATTTCTCTGTGTATATTTTATAGGTATTTTTGATTAGCATTGTAATTACATAAAACATCTTAAATTTCTAACAGTCCACTTTAAAGTGATAACTTCATGTCGGTCTCATAAAAATTCTTCATCTTTGTGTACTCCCCCTTTATGTTATTGATGACACTGGTTACATCTTTTTATATTGTTTATGTGTTAGCATAGATTTATAATTACTTCAGGTTTTTAATGTCTATACCAGATTTGAAAATGATTTATGCACCTATATTACATTACTTCTGCATTCTAATATGTCTATATGTTTACTCTTCCCAGGGAGTTTTATATTTTCTCTGGGCCTCTGGTGCTGGTTGGAACTAATGACTTGGGAGATGCTTTGTAGCCCTGTGATTCTGTAATTATCAGGATTTTCAGCAAAGGAGATTGTTCAAGGAGTAATAAAAGTCTTCTAAATTGGTGCCCCACAATGTGGAATGTTAATAGTCATTAGGGGAGAATATGCTACTTGTTTAAGTTGAAGGAATAGCAACTTAATGTACATACACAGGGAAGTGGATAAACAGATGTAATGGTACACATGCAAGATATTCAGAGGGATTAAAGGAGTCAATATGAATCAACAGGGATGCATTCTAGAAACATCACACGGAATGAAAGAGTTGCAGAATATTTACAGTGTCATCTCATTTTTATTGGACACATGGCTATACACAACATATTTTCTAGTCTTTTTGAGCACATAAAATCAACATGGGTAACAAACATCTGGAAGGATATACTTCCAGCTCATAATGGGGATTATTAGGAAGCTGGTGAGCACCAGGACTGGAGAAAAGGTGTCAGAGAGGATGTTTAGCTTTATTTATAATGTTCTAGTTTTCAAAAGAGGGGATGTGTCCATTTCTTCTCAGAGGAAGTTCTTCCCCTAGGGCTGCTCAGAGCCTTTAGTAAAAAATGCACAGGGTTGCTGGGTGGTGAGCGTGGCTCCAAACCTTCCCCCTGCTTTGTTAATAACAGATCAGCTCATTCCAAGTGGAGAAATGCTGTATAGAAAGCCATGTAGATGTACATGGATAATCATCAGGAGTGAAACATACATGTACAGGTGCGGATGTGGAAAGAGGGAAGAGGAGAGATGAAGAGACCATGTCCACTTCCTTCTTGATTCTGCCCATGAACTCAGTCTTTATTGGAGTCAAGGCTGCACCTCACACTGTGCTGTGTGTTCAATTTAACGCCCTACCCCACTGTACGTGGAGACTGGCCTTCCCGGTGGAGCCTCTCATTGAGCCTCCCTCTCAAGCCCACCTTGGTCTGCCCTCACCTCTGCTCTGCCAAGTGGCGGCTCGCATCCCCCTGCCTCCTGCATCTGTCTGGTACCCTCTTCGGCCTCTGGCCTGGTGTATGCCTGTGAACTCCTGCCGTGCCCTGAATCTCTCACCGCTGGGTAGGGCAGTCACCTCTTGCATGGTTGTCTTGCTTTTCACCCGCTGCTGTCTCGAGACCCTGGTTAGAGTGTAAGGTCTGTAAGGGCAAGGACTCGGTTTCATGTTCTTTTTTAAGTGTTTCTGAGATGCCGGCACTGGCTGAGACCAGGGAGTTACCAAGCAGATACTTTGTGCTAGTTTCTAGATTATCTCTTTCTTCAAAGATTTTTCATTCTTTGGTGGAGGGGAGGTTTGCTACATTATCAATTAGAATATTGGTTTGACCACTGTAACTGAGACCAAATGACAGTGGCTGAAACTTGATAGAGTTGATTTCTCTACTGTGTAAAAGTCTGAGCACTGGTGGGTGATTTCAGGGAGGCAGCTCTGTTCTGGGATCATCCAGGGACCCAGGTCTCTCTGTCCTGTAGCTCTGCCATTTTTTAAGGGTTGTCCTTATCTGTAGGGTCAGCATGGGTGCACAGTGCCGATCCCATCTGTTTCAGCCTGTGGGAAGGGGCAAGGAAGTGGGAACTTCCGCCCTGCCTCCTGCAGTGGGCAAGTCTGGGTCCATCTCCACACCTGTCTGTAGGGGAGGTTCTACCTGCCAGACCTCAGAGGTTTGCTGTGCTCCAGGAGTGACCATGCCCTGCTGTGCTCAGGATGTGGGAATCTCACCGCTAAAACTGGAACATCCCAGGAAAACTGGGGCAAGCTGGTCACCCAGCCTGGCTCTGGATTTGTGAAGGAGGTGGGCCTACCTGGGGTGAGCAAGGTCAGGGGAGCAGTGGGCCCCTCCCCCCTCCCCCCATCCACTCTAGGCAGGGACCCATGACACTGCCCCCTTCTTCCCTCAGATTCAGTGAGCCTTGCCTATCAGCGGGTTCAGAAGGTGGACTGCACATCTCTGAGGCCCGTCCTGATTCTGGGGCCTTTACTGGACGTGGTGAAGGAAATGCTGGTGAACGAGGCACCTGGCAAGTTCTGCAGGTGCCCCCTTGGTAAGGGATGCCCCCTGTGCTTTCTGGGCTCTGTCTGTCCCTGTGTCCCTGTTCATCCATCTCCTGGGCCGGATCCCAGTGTTTCAGAGCCATCCTGACCGGTCAGGGCAGCATGTGGATCTGGTTCTTTCTGGAAGAGAGGGCAGCAGGACCATCTAGCTGCTAACAGCTCTTCTGCACAGTGTCCTTGCCCAGAATGAGCCACGACATTCACAGTGCAGGAGGCATCCTGATTCCTGTGTCTGTGCTTTGCAGAGGTGATGAAGGCCTCCCAGCAGGCCATTGAACGTGGTGTCAAAGACTGCCTGTTTGTCGACTATAAGCGGAGGAGTGGCCATTTTGACGTGACCACAGTGGCTTCTATTAAGGAGATCACAGAGAAGGTACCTGTTGCTTCAAAATGAGGGTTAGGTGCCTGTTGACCATTGGGTTTGGACCCCCTCTGCCTTTGGACCTCTGTCCCCTCTTCAATGAGTTCACCTGTGCCCCTTTACTCTAGGTCAGCCTACTTGGGGCTTGCCCCCGTTGCTTTTGTGTGCTCCACTTTCTTGAATAGGAAGCAGGTTCCAGGCAGGTGTATAGGAGTCACCCTGTGCATGTCTCCCCTCTCCCCATCTGAGGGGATCTGATGAGAGCTTTGAACTCTAGGAAGTGCCCCTCACAGGGAATTCTGCAACAGGGACCCGGAATGTCTGCTGAGCCTCTGTGAAGAACTTTATGTGTGCCTTATTCTGCGGGCAGGGTGCACAGCTGCCATCAGAGCCCCTGCTTCTGAAAGGGTGCAGAGCCTTCTGTGTGTCTCTGGGCTCTTGAACGTACTGGGGAAGTCCCGCTAGGTAGCATGAGAAGTGGGGCAGTCTGTGCGGTGTGTGGAAGCTTCTTTCTCAGGTTAGCTAGCTTACCTTGTTGGGCTTCGTTTGTTTCCCCCTCACTGAATGAAGGTGGCTTCTTAGGTCTGTAAGTGTGGAGTGCTCAGCTACAGACAGAGGTGCCCTGGGAAGTCAGGAAACTGCCAGTGGTTGGGCCCCTCAGGGTAGCTCTGTGGGCCAGGGAGCGCCACAGGCAGAGTGCCCATGGCCTGCCTTTGGCTCACGCTCAGCCCTGAGGCCCAGAAGACCTTGGGACACATTTTAGTCACAGCCATGTGAAGACATACTCCCCCTTTCCCTGCTACAGGCCCTCTGAGAGTCTCTGAGTCTTCATGTGCTCAGACTGGCAGAAGTTAGGTTTCTGAGTCTGGACTGGTGTAGGGCTTTGCGAAGTCCCCAGTACCTGGGCACAGTCAGGAAAGGAAGTTTGAGGTGGGCCCTGGCTCCCAGCCTCACCACCATCAGAGCTGACAGCTTGTGCGGAAATTTTCCCCGAGTACGGTTTCCTCATGGTTTATCAGGTATGGTCTTCATGAAAGACTGGTCTTTCTGCCTTGTTCTTAAGTAGAACTTCTTGTTTTCATTTTATGCAGTAAGGTAGAGCGGTATGGGTAAGGGGTGGCAGAGAAAGGCTGGAGGTGTCCTCCGAAGGGCTGCAGTGTTTGTGAGGCCCAGCAACCCCTGTGCCAGTCCCGGCACTCATTCTCCTCCCCCTCCCCCTCAGAACCGGCACTGCCTCCTGGACATCGCCCCCCATGCCATCGAGCGGCTGCACCACATGCACATCTACCCTGTCGTCATCTTCATCCACTACAAGAGCGCCAAACACATCAAGTAGGTGACCGGCTCCTTGTGGGGAGCCTGGGATCTTGCTGGGGTTGGGCTGAGATGCTCAGGCAGCAGGGGTCGGGGTGGAAGGCTGAGATAGGCCTCTTGTGTGGGCCTCAAGCTTCAGGTGCCTGCACTTTGGGGTATCTGCTGTGTGCATGTACTCATGCATCCACCTTGCCCCTTTCCCCAGCACTCCCCCTGGGGCCTGTTGGCTGTTGGTGTGCTTTATAATGCGTGGGGCCCTTGTGGCAGTGGAGATCCCTGTTACACTAGACAAAAGAAGGAAAGAGGAGGGTCTGGGGAGGCGAGAGGCTCAGCCTGGTTCCCTGGGTGTCCCAACAGGGAGCAGAGAGACCCTATCTACCTGAAGGACAAAGTGACTCAGAGGCATTCCAAAGAGCAGTTTGAGACAGCTCAGAAGATTGAGCAGGAGTACAGTAGGTACTTCACAGGTAGGTGTGCATACAGCCCAGAGAGGAGAAGCAGGCAGCAGAGATGGAAACAGGCTTCCCAAAGATGTCCTCCTTGGAAGTGGTAAAAGCCCACACTTCCTGGGTGCCTCCTGAATGCCATCATTAGCACTTTCATTAAAGGTATTCTAGTTGCAGAGTCAGCAGATTCACAGGTTGAAAGGTGAAGGTCACTGGCTTGGCCTGGGGCGTGGCCCGGCCTTTTCTGCCTGTGTGTCCTCCTGTGTGGTTGCAAGTCTGTCTCCCAGCATACGTGAGTTGTAGCTCCAGGGCTCCTGTGCCTGCAGGGTGGCAGTGGTGCCCGTGGCTACAGGGAGTTACCAAGCAGATACTTTGTGCTAGTTTCTAGATTATCTCTTTCTTCAAAGATTTTTCATTCTTTGGTGGAGGGGAGGTTTGCTACATTATCAATTAGAATATTGGTTTGACCACTGTAACTGAGACCAAATGACAGTGACTGAAACTTGATAGAGTTGATTTCTCTACTGTGTAAAAGTCTGAGCACTGGTGGGTGATTTCAGGGAGGCAGCTCTGTTCTGGGATCATCCAGGGACCCAGGTCTCTCTGTCCTGTAGCTCTGCCATTTTTTAAGGGTTGTCCTTATCTGTAGGGTCAGCATGGGTGCACAGTGCCGATCCCATCTGTTTCAGCCTGTGGGAAGGGGCAAGGAAGTGGGAACTTCCGCCCTGCCTCCTGCAGTGGGCAAGTCTGGGTCCATCTCCACACCTGTCTGTAGGGGAGGTTCTACCTGCCAGACCTCAGAGGTTTGCTGTGCTCCAGGAGTGACCATGCCCTGCTGTGCTCAGGATGTGGGAATCTCACCGCTAAAACTGGAACATCCCAGGAAAACTGGGGCAAGCTGGTCACCCAGCCTGGCTCTGGATTTGTGAAGGAGGTGGGCCTACCTGGGGTGAGCAAGGTCAGGGGAGCAGTGGGCCCCTCCCCCCTCCCCCCATCCACTCTAGGCAGGGACCCATGACACTGCCCCCTTCTTCCCTCAGATTCAGTGAGCCTTGCCTATCAGCGGGTTCAGAAGGTGGACTGCACATCTCTGAGGCCCGTCCTGATTCTGGGGCCTTTACTGGACGTGGTGAAGGAAATGCTGGTGAACGAGGCACCTGGCAAGTTCTGCAGGTGCCCCCTTGGTAAGGGATGCCCCCTGTGCTTTCTGGGCTCTGTCTGTCCCTGTGTCCCTGTTCATCCATCTCCTGGGCCGGATCCCAGTGTTTCAGAGCCATCCTGACTGGTCAGGGCAGCATGTGGATCTGGTTCTTTCTGATAGAGAGGGCAGCAGGACCATCTAGCTGCTGACAGCTCTTCTGCACAGTGTCCTTGCCCAGAATGAGCCACGACATTCACAGTGCAGGAGGCATCCTGATTCCTGTGTCTGTGCTTTGCAGAGGTGATGAAGGCCTCCCAGCAGGCCATTGAACGTGGTGTCAAAGACTGCCTGTTTGTCGACTATAAGCGGAGGAGTGGCCATTTTGACGTGACCACAGTGGCTTCTATTAAGGAGATCACAGAGAAGGTACCTGTTGCTTCAAAATGAGGGTTAGGTGCCTGTTGACCATTGGGTTTGGACCCCCTCTGCCTTAAGACCTCTGTCCCCTCTTCAGTGAGTTCACCTGTGCCCCTTTACTCTAGGTCAGCCTACTTGGGGCTTGCCCCCGTTGCTTTTGTGTGCTCCACTTTCTTGAATAGGAAGCAGGTTCCAGGCAGGTGTATAGGAGTCACCCTGTGCATGTCTCCCCTCTCCCCATCTGAGGGGATCTGATGAGAGCTTTGAACTCTAGGAAGTGCCCCTCACAGGGAATTCTGCAACAGGGACCCGGAATGTCTGCTGAGCCTCTGTGAAGAACTTTATGTGTGCCTTATTCTGCGGGCAGGGTGCACAGCTGCCATCAGAGCCCCTGCTTCTGAAAGGGTGCAGAGCCTTCTGTGTGTCTCTGGGCTCTTGAACGTACTGGGGAAGTCCCGCTAGGTAGCATGAGAAGTGGGGCAGTCTGTGCGGTGTGTGGAAGCTTCTTTCTCAGGTTAGCTAGCTTACCTTGTTGGGCTTCGTTTGTTTCCCCCTCACTGAATGAAGGTGGCTTCTTAGGTCTGTAAGTGTGGAGTGCTCAGCTACAGACAGAGGTGCCCTGGGAAGTCAGGAAACTGCCAGTGGTTGGGCCCCTCAGGGTAGCTCTGTGGGCCAGGGAGCGCCACAGGCAGAGTGCCCATGGCCTGCCTTTGGCTCACGCTCAGCCCTGAGGCCCAGAAGACCTTGGGACACATTTTAGTCACAGCCATGTGAAGACATACTCCCCCTTTCCCTGCTACAGGCCCTCTGAGAGTCTCTGAGTCTTCATGTGCTCAGACTGGCAGAAGTTAGGTTTCTGAGTCTGGACTGGTGTAGGGCTTTGCGAAGTCCCCAGTACCTGGGCACAGTCAGGAAAGGAAGTTTGAGGTGGGCCCTGGCTCCCAGCCTCACCACCATCAGAGCTGACAGCTTGTGCGGAAATTTTCCCCGAGTACGGTTTCCTCATGGTTTATCAGGTATGGTCTTCATGAAAGACTGGTCTTTCTGCCTTGTTCTTAAGTAGAACTTCTTGTTTTCATTTTATGCAGTAAGGTAGAGCGGTATGGGTAAGGGGTGGCAGAGAAAGGCTGGAGGTGTCCTCCGAAGGGCTGCAGTGTTTGTGAGGCCCAGCAACCCCTGTGCCAGTCCCGGCACTCATTCTCCTCCCCCTCCCCCTCAGAACCGGCACTGCCTCCTGGACATCGCCCCCCATGCCATCGAGCGGCTGCACCACATGCACATCTACCCTGTCGTCATCTTCATCCACTACAAGAGCGCCAAACACATCAAGTAGGTGACCGGCTCCTTGTGGGGAGCCTGGGATCTTGCTGGGGTTGGGCTGAGATGCTCAGGCAGCAGGGGTCGGGGTGGAAGGCTGAGATAGGCCTCTTGTGTGGGCCTCAAGCTTCAGGTGCCTGCACTTTGGGGTATCTGCTGTGTGCATGTACTCATGCATCCACCTTGCCCCTTTCCCCAGCACTCCCCCTGGGGCCTGTTGGCTGTTGGTGTGCTTTATAATGCGTGGGGCCCTTGTGGCAGTGGAGATCCCTGTTACACTAGACAAAAGAAGGAAAGAGGAGGGTCTGGGGAGGCGAGAGGCTCAGCCTGGTTCCCTGGGTGTCCCAACAGGGAGCAGAGAGACCCTATCTACCTGAAGGACAAAGTGACTCAGAGGCATTCCAAAGAGCAGTTTGAGACAGCTCAGAAGATTGAGCAGGAGTACAGTAGGTACTTCACAGGTAGGTGTGCATACAGCCCAGAGAGGAGAAGCAGGCAGCAGAGATGGAAACAGGCTTCCCAAAGATGTCCTCCTTGGAAGTGGTAAAAGCCCACACTTCCTGGGTGCCTCCTGAATGCCATCATTAGCGCTTTCATTAAAGGTATTCTAGTTGCAGAGTCAGCAGATTCACAGGTTGAAAGGTGAAGGTCACTGGCTTGGCCTGGGGCGTGGCCCGGCCTTTTCTGCCTGTGTGTCCTCCTGTGTGGTTGCAAGTCTGTCTCCCAGCATACGTGAGTTGTAGCTCCAGGGCTCCTGTGCCTGCAGGGTGGCAGTGGTGCCCGTGGCTCTCTGTCCTCAGCATCCTGCAGAGCAGTCCAGTTTTGCCATGAGGTGTGGTGAATAAAAGCTGTGACCTCACCATCATTGGTCTTTGAAACAAAGCAAACCAAGATAAACGTGACTTTAATTTACTGCCTCCTTTCTACTTCATGGCTTTTAACCTCTTCATAATCAGCCATTTGCAGGAGGGTTAATAATACCATAGTCACAGAGAGGCAACAACAGAATTTTAATTAACTTCTAGAGGGTGTTGTGATCTAGTTTGGGGCTTCTCATGCAATAGTTGGTCTCCAAAACCAACCGTGGTGTTTCTATCTGTGTGTGCTTTCATTTCCAGTCCATCACTGACCAGTATTTTAGCCGAGTACATTACTACTAGAGAAATGAAAATTTACAACTCCAAAACTTACAAAATACAAGCTTTGACTTTTTATTAGTTTCAACAGACATAAAATTACTCTGTTGTATTTCCATAGCGATTTCTCAACACTCCCTGTCAGTCTGTACATACCTTGTGGCAAGTGGCCAGGGCACAGGTTGTCTTCCTTCCTGTATTGTCCATGGTGTATACCAAGAGCCTGGGTCTAGCATCTACAGGACTCGTGTTGAAAGCCTGCAGGGCAGGGCTGGGCCATAGCTGCGGACATGCCGTCATCTTTGCTGCAAATCTCTGGGTCATGAGATGCCCCGGCTCCTTAAACTCTGTTTCCTGCTAGAATCCCGTTGCCAACTAGACTGTCACAATACCCCCCTCACCTGCTTTCTGACATGCTGGACTTTCCTTTGCAAGACTAGGCAAGCACCAGCTAGGGCATGCAGTGGGGGTGGGTGGTTTATGTGAGTGATCAAATCCTAGTGTTTTCCCGTGCCAGGGGTCAGGGGAGCCTGGCAAAATTTGACACCATTCATTTTGAGCCTGTATTTTCTGCATCCTACTGAGCAGTTGACCAGAGGGACAGATAGAAAGCTGGAGTGATTTGCACTTAACTCTTAATTTCCTTTTTCTTCCCCAGTTTCTTGCTGATGGAAGAGAGTGGGGTAGTAGTGGGACAGAAGGACCAACTAGCACAAAACAAGCAGGAAGACATAGACTAAAAGGTGCATTTATTGGTCTCAAACCTGGGGTCTAACTCAGAGCTCAATGATGTGTGTGTTTGGGGGCTCTCTTGCAGGAGTCGTCCAAGGAGGAGCCCTATCAAGCATTTGCACTCAGATCTTGGCAATGGTCAATCAAGAACAAAACAAAGTCCTGTGGATTCCAGCCTGCCCGCTGTAGAAGAGCGCTGTGCTGGGAAATGACTGCAGCTTGTCACCAGTGTAAATGCCTGGCCCAGCTTTTTTAGTGACTAAAAATAGGAGTTCTGTCCTGATATAAACACAAAGGGGCAGGATCCATGCTGAAGGACTCCAGAAGCACTTCCTTTGTAGACAGAGGACCACAGATAAATGGGATCCGGGCCCAGGCCAGCAGACTGTATTCCTCTCACATGTGTGCTTTAAGACAAAACAAGAAACACAAAAGACTTTTAATAGAGGGGTTCAACAGCAACCTTTCTTTAGCCAGCTCATCAGAAATGCTGCAAAGAGAACCTTTCAGATCACAAGTTTACAAGCCTCTTCCGAGTATTTGATTATGTTTACTTGAACGGCTCATGCTGTTGGGGCCCAGCCCCTGCCCCCATCAACCCTTGTGTTGCTTCGGTGTTTGGTGTTTTTCAGTGAAACAACATGGGAACCTTGTTTGCAGCTGCTTTGCTTTGCGAGGTTCTTAGCAGTGGGACCAGAGATTTGACAGACTTCCTGCTCCTCAGTGGCCCCTCTCCTGGAAGGACATTGTGACTGCAGATGTTAAGAAACCAGTGCCTTTGTGGGGCTGACTCGCCAGCAGCAGTGTTCTCCCCTTTGTATCAAGGAAGGCGACTTTGCAGTCTTAGAAACTCGTCTCTCAGACTTTCTTACCTGCCTCCAGTGTCCTCTCATTTCTTCTCTGCTTTTATTTTCTGAGCGTTCTGTCTAGGCCGTCAGAGTCTCATGGGTTCGCTAAGACACAGCTAGCTCCAGGCAAGGTGTTTAGAGCTGACGCATGCCACTGGGTCCTCTTTAGGTTCTGTAAATAGTGACGGCCTTCATCAGTGCAATTTTTGCAGAGTAGTTCTTACAACTGTAGAGTGAGGCAGGCACACCAGTTCTTTAATATGAAAACATTCGTGTTTCCGACTTTGAATTGAGAGCTCTTAGGGAAAGGATACTGATTAGTGTGCTCACTGTCAAAAATCTAAAGAGAAACTGGGATCTTTTTGGTCTTGGCTAGAGCACTCATGGCTCGAACAGTACTCAGTGAGGAGGTCTCTGGGCCCCGCCCTGTCCCACCCACCCCCCAGTTCTGATGCTGGATGTCTCTGGCTGAAGATTTGATGTGGTTCCTCCTTCAACTGTGCATCCTATTAATAATAGGTACTGTACCGGGCTCCGTGTGTCACTGGGGTAGGACCTATATTTTAATACTGTTCCTAACATTTCATTTTACTACCAAGAAATCTTCGATTTCATTTTATTCTTTGTAATTCTAGACACTAGATTATAGTTTAACCATATTGACATTTTTTAAAAAGGGATATATTTTCTTGCACAGTTGTTCAAAAAGAAACATGCTGCAGCCATCAGTGCTGCCCTTTGTTTTACAGGTGCCAGTTTTCTAGCTCAGACAACCGAGACAAACGAGGCTGTCTGCAGGTCTTAACCCCAGGCCCCCTGGGGCTGTTGCTCTGAGTCACAGACACAGGGTCTGTGAGGTACAGTGTGCACAGGTACTGTTCTGGCAGACTGGGATTTTCTGTACTAAAACATTACTTTGTATCAAAAGTTATAAACAGACTTTAGTACAATAAATAAAGGTCATTTTCTGTAACTTGTGATGAAGATACCTGTATTTCATTTGTTTTCCGTCATCTCTGCTCCCTCAGCGTCCTTGTGTTCCTAACCTGGACACCACTTACCCACCCTACACAGGTAGCAGGAACTGGCTGGTCCATGAGGTTCTAGTCCAGCTCTCATGCTAATCAGAGGCCCCTTTTACCAGCTGCATCAGCCTCTTTCTGAGTCCTTCTTTCCCTGCCATGTATCTGTCCACACATCCTTCTATCCATCCAGCATTGCTCACAGCCGGGCAGCTGATTTGTGTAAGACTCAGAGGCTGCCTTCAGGGTGCTCACATTCATGTCTATAGGTTTGGGCTGGGCTGTGAAGAGCAAGGGGGATTTGAAGGACACTGGAATCCCCTGATGTTCTCAGCCAGGGCCCTGACTGGAAGTTGGTGAGGCCTAGATCAGGCCTCCGGGGTGAAGAAGGCCCTGCCTGACATGTGGGCTGTGTTGTGATACCACCCAGGGCTCTCTGAAGCAGCCTGCTTGGTCCTGAAAGTCTGTTCCAGGGTGGTGAGAAAGCTGGGAATAGTGGCCAGGAAGTCACCAAACATCCTGAGGCCCTACTGAGAGCAGAGCCTTTCTCCTCTATTCTTTTTTGCTTGGAGGAGCTTGAGGGCAAAATGTTCTGGAAAAGACTCATGCTGTGGTGGGGCCGGCCCGCAGGGGGATTAGTGTCCCCCCTGGGTCCTGCCTGCTGGGTGGAATCCCCCTACAGGCCTGCGGTTTTGGCTTCACCTGTGGCTGCCAAGTCACAGAGCTGTGTGGGGCTGTGGCCGGTGAGAGCAAGTGGGGGCCAGTGTGGCTGGCTGGGGCGTCAGGAACCTCACCTTTGCCCATGCGTATTCAGCCATGGGGCTGCTACTACATAGATTTGTCACCCACCTGACAAAGGGGTGTGGCAGCTGCTTGCTTAAAGAACAGTTTCTTCCAAGAACTCAGTTTTGATGCCAAAACCTCAACAGTTTGTGCTTGCAGTATTGTGACTTTTCTTCTTTAGACTTTTCTGTGTTTTATTTTCTGTAGGAAACTTGGTTTTCTTTTATAATTACAAGGAAAAAAACCACTATCTTCTTTAAAATTTGTAGGGCCAGTTAAGTTGCTGAGCTCACACACCGTTTGCTCCTGTGTGCACTGAGGCCTTGAAGGGCAGCCCCAGGATATACTGCTAGGCAGCCCTGAGAGAGGATTCAAACTAGTCTCCAAACCACACAGACACCAGCATGGGGATGGGAGTCCACAGCCGATAGATCTGTGCCCCAAGGTGGTATCTGTCTCATGCAGGCTCAGATCATTCTGGAAAGGCAGGGCAGATTTTCAGCTCCAGCAATGAGGCCATGGACAGATTGTGCTCTCTCTCTTGGCCTCAATGTCTTGGCCTTCAAATGGTGCAGACTGGATCTCTGAGGCCCCTTCCCGCGTTGACATCTGTGATAAGGGCATGGAATGGGATTTCCCTCCTGGCCTTGCAGAGGCTGAGCAAAAACCCATCTCTGGGAGCCTTGACACACGTGACTTTTTGTGACTGGAGGAGAACCTTGACATTTAACGCATTAGAGGGGAAGCTGAAAGGGTCTGGGGTAGGAGCCAAAGCACTGGTCCAAAGTCTTGGGCCTCTCCGTGGCTGAAACAAAACTCTGAGGCTGAACAAAGCAGCTGGCCAACTGGACTCTGGCACTGGGAAGCTGAGCTGCTGTCCCCTTTGGGATTTGCAGAGCAGGAGAGGGCCACCTGGATCACAGATGCCAAGGACAGAAAAACAAGGAATCGGAGGGTGGAGCACAGACCGAGCATAAACTCTGGATGAGGGAGCATGGCTGGCGTTGGAATGATGATCCTCTTGTAGGGGATGGACTCCCTGGCCGAGCACTGGATAGCTGGGCCCTCTCGACTGTTCGCTTCTGCTGCTGTGCTAATCTGCAGGTTTCCTTGATCTTATTTCATCTATCCATACTCTTTCACCTGCTCAGACCTTCCAGAGTATAGTCTCTGGCCTCTTGTTGGTTCCCCCTTAAGTTCTCCTTGCTATTATGAGTTTATATCTTTTCAACTGTGAAGTGTGTTGTACTACAGAAGAGCATGTATAACGTAAATGCACAGAACGAAGGGTAAGAAATGGACAGCATTTTTGTCTTTAAGGAACAGAATCCTACTACTACCTCAGACACCCTCTTATGCCTAACCCAGTTGGATTCTCTGCTTTTCCACCAAAGCAAGCACTGACTTGGGGGGTAATCATTTCCTTGCCTTTCTGTTTTCACTCCCAATGGAGATATCTTGGAACAATATAGTTTTCAGGTTTGAAGACACTGGGCATCAAGCACAAACTTAACTGTGTGGGGAAGGAACAGTGTTGCCACTGTTGAAGTCAATCTCTGGGTCAGAGTGAACCTCAGCTTCTTTGGGAGTTTACAAGAGGCCCTCCTGGAGAAGATGGTAAGCAAGAACTTGAATGAATCCTGAAAGTAGTAGGGCCACCATAGTCAGGGCATGTGGCATTACTATCCACAGACCAGGTCCTCAGTGTCTGACAGAAGTACAGCCAGAGGGCTTGGGCTCCTGTGTTGTCAGGCACACCACAGCTGTCCTCTGAATTTCAGCAGTAAGTCAAAGATGGACACTTCGGTGGGATGAAATCCTGATTTCTCCAGCTGATCTGGAGAGCGGAAAGTTCAGCTCATGTCATGACAAGTGTAGCAGAAATAAGAATCTGGGCCAGGGTCACCTTGACACTCTGTCCTTAACCAAGCCACATGAAGATGGCAGAGATACTGGCGCTAATAACTCTTAACATTTTTGCCTTGAGTCCCCGTTCCAAACCAGACTCCTTGCCCTCGAGGCCTGGGGCCAGCTCTCATCCTGATACCTCTCCTCTACTTCTCTGGAGAAGTTCCTGGGAAATTAATTTTTTTGGCTCTCCTCTTCTGTCCTTTGATGGATCCCCTATTTCCTGTGCCACTTGTGAGGAAAAGGGGTTAACCCCTGATCTGAATTCTTTTCCGCAGGAAGTTAACTGGGTTTACCTTCTTTTAGCATTGTTTTCTAGAAAAATCATGGATTAAGGAAAAAGTTTGTATTTCCCATTGCCTATAGGTTGGCACATCTGGGTTGGGAGGCCTAGGAGTGGACACATAGATCCCAAGAGCCAGAACAGCAAGGACTTTATCAGCAATGCTGTGCGGCTGCTTGTTTCTCTCTGGAGCCCCAGTTACTCCTGTGTTGGACATCCTGGACTGGGTCCCTCCATTTGTTGTCTCCAGTTGACATCATTTTGTCATTTTGTTTTTCTTCCACAGAGATTCACTCAACCTTATCTTTCAGTCCCTTCTGTTGAGTTTTTCAGCTTTGCTGTCATGTTTTTAAATTTCCAAGAACTCTTAATTTCCTGAATGTCCTTTTTTTATCTTTCTGGATTTGTTTCATGAATATGCTCTTTTATCTGAAGATAGTATAGATTTTCTTCTCACATAAATTCTAATTCCTCCCAGTTATTTTTTTCCTCTATTTGTCTTTTCTCAGTCTTGCACATTAGAGGCTTTAACTTCAGTTATCTGATAATCCTTTGTGGAGACCAGCTCCACAAACCGGCTGAACCTGGGTGGAGTGGGAATGAGGAACTTGAGGAAAACACAGAGAAAGAGATAATAAAGACACGGAAACCAAAGCTTGAGATCAGGAGGTTCACTGCCTGCTGATGGCAGACAAGTGATATGGTTTATTTTCTGAGCACCACTTATATACACAAGCTCATAATGATGTCACTTCCAGACTGATCTCATATCTGGTGATTTCATATCTGGTGTAGTCACTTCTGTTTATGGTGATCTCACTTCCAGTGATATCAGTTCTGGTGGTATCACTCCCTGGTGCCCGGATCTGGTGATTCACTTCGGGGTGACATCACATGTGGCCGTCCACAATCCTTAACATTTCTCCTAATGATTAATCATGGGGATTTAAAAGTCCAGACAGATGGGTAGGATACTCTGAGTTTCTCTGTAGGGTAGCCTGGCTGGGCTGCTCATTGGGGAATCTCAGGCATGGTCTGTCTTCAGGAGATGGTCAGGTTCCCCAAAGGGGTCCTTCCTCCCCTGACTGGAAGGGCCAGCCTGGCAGCATCTGTGAATCCACTGGGGGAAGAAGGTTGCATTCAGCATGGAACATGGTAGCATATAGCCACTCAATCCTTTCATTTTTCAGTTTGGTACAAGCTATCTGATCTGTGCCTGGTATCCTCAAGTCCAGAAATCCTTTCTTGCCTTCTCCAGGTAGAAAAGTCCCCAACATTTCTCAAGTCGAGGGAAATGAAGTAGCCCTGGAGCTTAGAATCTGAGAATCTGTTACTCATCAGCCTTCTTGAATTCCTTATTTAAGCCACCCTCTCCAAAGTTCTAGAAGTAATGATGCCACAGCTCCTTGTATTTGAAGATTCCTTGCTTTTTGCCTCTGTCGTTTGAGGACTTGGCATGTCGGGGTCTGCTAAGTAATTTTCCACTGGTCCATCTGTGTTTCAGCTTTTAAAATGATTTTGTGGTTGTTGCTTCTGTTTTGCCCCACATTTCTGGATTTATATCTTTTTAAAATAAATCTTTTGCCTGTATTCACTTTGTTTTAATAGAGGAGCAAATTTAAGTTTATGTATCAATCTGTTTCCTCAACCCAGTAGTAAGCCTTGTACCTTCTAATATTTCTTTACTATTCTTTTACACTCACTGGGGTCATCAAAGGACCTCACACACAGAGCTCATTCCTTTTAAAAGCAGCATCCCCTTCTAGTTCTTGATGCACCAGCCAGGCTTCCACAAAAGAGGCAGAACAAGAAGGAACCAATATGATACATAGGTAGATAAAAAATTTGTTGCAAGGAATTTGGCTTGTGTGATTGTGGGTCCTGGCTGCGCAAGTCTGAAGTCTATAGACTGCTAGTCAGGAAGATGATGGGCCGGTGGAGTCCACAGGCACAGACTGAAACTATTCTCTGCAGGCAGATA